TGCCCAGCATACAGAATAAGGGTAGAATTTTAAAGGCTGTGAGAGAAAAACATCACATTACATTCAGGGGGAAACCAATATGGATCTCAGCTGATTTCTCAATCCACACCCTCAAAGCCAAGAGATCCTGGAATAACATCTACCAAGCTCTGAAAGAAAATGGGTGCCAACCAAGAGTCCTACATCCAGCAAAATTAAGCTTCAAATTTGAAGATGAAATAAAAACTTTCATGATAAAGAAAAATTAAAAGAATTTTCAACCAGAAAGCCTGCAATTCAGAATGTTCTCAATAAAATATTCCATGAAGATGAAAGGAAAAAAAAAAGTGAAAACCAATGACAGAAGGAACTACACTAAAGGAACAGTCAATCAAAGGAGAAACTAAGTAAAATTAAAAACTAGAAATAAAAGCCAGGTGTAGTGGCACACACCTGTTATCCCAGTGGCTCAGGAGGCTGAAGCAGGAGGATCATCAATGCAAAGTCAACCTCAGCAAAATCAAGGTGCTAAGCAACTCAGTGTGACTCTGTCTCTAAATAAAATACAAAATCGGGCTGGGAATAGGGATCAGTGGTCGAGTGCTTCTGAGTTCAATCCCTGGTATCCCCCCATACACACCAAAAAAATAGAAATAAGACAAAATGACAGAGAACACAAATCATATCTCAACAACAACCTTAAACATTAATGGCCTAAACACATCAATCAAAAGACAAAGGCTGGCAGATGGATTAAAAAACAAGACCCAACAATATGTTGTCTCCATGCGGCTCACCTCATAGGCAAAGACATCCACAGACTGGAGGTGAAAGGATAGGAAAAAACATAGCACTCATATGGATTGTGTAAACAAGCAGGGGTTTCTATCCTCATATCAGATAAAATGGACTTCAAGCCAAAGTTAATTAGAAGGGACAAAGAAAGACATTTCTTACTGCTTAAGGGAATTATACATCAACAAGACCTAACAATAAATATTTATGCCCCAAACAATGGAGCAAAGCCTTCTTAAATTCAAGAATCAAATAGACCACAACATAATAATACTGGGTGACTTTAACACATCTCTCTCGATACTGGATGGAGCTTCCAAACAAAAGCTAAACAAAGAAACTATAGAAATAAATAATACAATCAATAATTTAGACTTAACAGACATATACAGAATATTTCATCCATCAGTGATTGCATACACTTTCTTCTCAGAAGCACACAAATCCTTCTTTGAATAAACCATGTTATGTAAGCCATCACATATGTTGGCATACAATTGTAATATTACCTTAATTCATTTTTAGCATCTGTAGGGTTATTTTGACAGCACTCTTTCCATTGATATTAATTTTTGTGTCCTTGTTTTTTTCTTCATCAGACTTGATTTTAATCAAATTTTAGCTGTATTTTTTTCTTCTCTAGTTCATATATTTCTGCTCCTACTCTTATTTTTTTCCCTCCTATTACTTAATTTGAAAATAATTTGCTATTCTAGCTTCTTTCTGACACAAGTATTTTAAATGTTCATCTGAGTACTGGTTCACCCCAGAGATCCTGGTATCTTAAGCTTTTATTATCACTTCAAAGCACTTTTTATTTACTTTACTTGTATTTTCTTCCTTGACCTCAGAGATATTTATGAGTGCACTATTTAATTTTGAAATAGTTGATGTGGGGAGGGGTTCTTCTATATATCTTAAGGTGATTGATTTCTAATGTAATCATGCAGGAAACACAGTCTTCATGATTTCAGATTTTTAAAAAGCCATGGAAATGTTTTTTATATTGATTATATTGGTTACATACATGTCAAAACTGATCAAATTGCAGACTTCAAATATATGCCTTTTATTGTTTTTCAATTTTACCTCAATAAAACTACGGGGAAAAAAAAGATTGGACTTATAGCTTAGTGGTAGAGCATTTGCCTAGCATGCATGAGGCCCTGGGTTCAGTCCCCCGTACTGCAAAAAAGAAGCACAATCCCATTATAACATCTAAGTAAAAATAATTAATTCCTTAATATCTTCAAATATCTGGTTACCCAAACAAGGCCCATACCGTGCAAATGGTTGATGTGCTCTTTCATTCTTTAGGTGTGGAGGTGGGGAAGGACTGGGATGGAACTCACTGCATTACATCTCTAGCTCCCCTTAAAAATTAAAAAACCCGACAAGAAGAACTTAGAAGAGGAAAGGTTTGCATGGACAGAGTCGCAGTGCATGGACAGCCGACTCCACCGCGACTCCAGGTTCCAGGTCAGGCAGCACATCGTGGGGAAGGGCCTAGAGGAGGAAAGCTGCTCACGGTGGCGCAGGAAGTGGGGAGGGAAAAGGGACCACAGGAAGACCAGCCCACCCAGGCCGCACCCCCAGGGACCCACCTCCCTCGGCCACACCCCACCTGCCTGTGGTTTTCACACATCAGTCCATTTGAACCTGGGTGGATGGATTGGGTTAAAGGTCTCACAATCTAATCACTTCATCTCTGAATATTCCTGCATTAACAGTTAGTTTTGGGGGGACACCTCATAGCCAAACCATAACCACCCTCCTGTCTACTTGGCAATCACTCAACGGCGTCCTCAGAAAAACAGGTGAGAATCAAAACAGAAACTTCACACTGTAGCTCAGATGGGAAACAATGCAGTCTCAGATAAGACAGGAAATGTGAAAAAAATATTCAATCCAATTACATCTGAGCAAGCACGACATTTGCGTGAGCATCTTGGGGCAAATATCAGCGAGACGGCCTACCAAACCACAGCCAGCACCCGAGAAATGAAGGAGCGCAGAATGCAAGATTCAGGCAGAATCAGTCTGGAAGAATGACTCAGAAGACCAGGAGAACATCCCCCCAGGGGCTTGACACCCCACAAAAACCCAAGCCAAGCAGCGTCGTGTCGAGGGGTGATGGATTTAAAGGACCCAGCTAAAAGTGCGGCTTGTAGTTCTATGGGAAAAAATTAAGATCCTCTCCAAACACACACACACACACACACACACACACACACACACACACACACGGTTTGTTTGGTTTTTTAAAATTATAAATTACAAGAAATAAACCTCCTGAAAATCGAGTAATTGTCCTGGAGGAAAAGCTGAAGGTGACCACTAGAAACATGAAGTGAAAGAATCAGAGAGAGGAAAGCATCCAGCAGCCTTTGGGCTGAGAAGGCTGAAGTTACTCCAGTGGAATACAATTTTGCATAAAATTGAAAAGGAAAAAATTGTCAAAAATGTTTGAAAAGGAACTTTTTCCCTTTTTATTTTCTTTTGCCCCTAAAAGTAGACTCGAATATGCAGCCAAAAAAAGAACGCAAGAACCATCATTAAACACTGAGAGTGCTCATGGAATCAATCCCTCAGTAACTTCCCACACCACTTTATTTATATCTTATGAAATCAATGCCATCATAGGTTGCACCTTAAAATGTAAGTTTTAGTAAGACCAAAGCCACCTCACACAAAGTTAGGACAAGGAAGCTACATTTATACTTTTCCAGGATATCCAGCGAAATCTCCCATATCATGAAACAAAGGACAGACACCCAAATAAAACTGGAAAGAAAATGAACCTGAAAGAGAGAGGGAATCTAACAGCCAACAAACGGGAGAAACTGAGCCACCTCCTACTTAATCAGGAAAATACAGATGAAAACCACGCGCACCTCCTCATCTGTCACTTTGACAAAGTCTGGCTGGGTGTGGGGAGGTGGCTCGTCTCATCTGCTGTTGGTAAGAGAATGCATTCATATTCAGCCTCTTACAAAGGCAATTTAGCTGAGCCTATAAACGTGTACACATTGATTGCCTTTGCCTCAGTGATTCCACTTTCTTGTGTTTTGATACAATTATGTAGAATTCCAACATAAAGTATATAATCGTTATCACAGCCTCTTAATAAAAGTGAACAATTGAAATAACCTAAATATCCATCAGAAGGGGATGGTTTAAATATTATGGTACCTATATCAATCTCATGGAACAGCATAAAGCTGCTTTAAAAAAACAAAGTTCATGTACATGTATTAAGGTGAAAAGATCTCTAAGATTTCTACTTTTAAAATAAGTGGCAATAAAAAATGCTGAAAAAAATGTACAGTATCATCTCATTTATTATAAAAGGCATTTATGATAACAAGTTATCTAGACAGATGCACAGAAAAGAGAAGACGAGACCAGACTTCTCAAAGACCTGGGACTGGAAGCTGAAAGTGAGTGAGAAGGGAATTTTTTCCCATTGTAGACCTCTATGCTGTTTGAAATTTTATGAGCAAGGTTGTAGAGTGTATTCCTTTTGTAGACATAAAAAAAAATCAAGTCTTGTTATTTTTGAGCCCACTACACAGGAAAAGATAGAATTTCTATTGTTTTTCTTGTCAGAGGTATGACCTACCCAGGAACAGAAAATTAAAGTGAAAATAAAACTCGGCCTGCACTAGCTTTTCTCCTCATGGGCCCTTTCTCTCTTTTTTTCCCTTTGATCAGGATAAACAGAGAAAGAGCTCAGACCCCGTCAGCGTCAGCGCAGGGACAGCCCCGGATCTGACAAAGCTGGTCCCCTGCAGGTGCTGGACCACAGCACCCCGGGCTCGCTCGCTGGAAAAGGTGCCAGATGTTTACCCTGGAGCTGGTGTTGCCCCACCTACCCTCTTTGAAGTGACCTGTGAAAGGTGGAGGGAGGTGGGGGAGGACTGGGAGCATTCAGAGGTCATGGGAAATGGCCAATCCCTGCTGGGAGGGACAGAGTCCCCGCCACTGAGAAGCAACTGCAAAACAACTGCAAAACAAGTTCGTGTGCTTCGTGGTGAGCTGAACTCACACCGACAGCCGTCCTGCTCCTTTTAAAAACCCCTCTTCCTCTTTCCTAGCTCTTACTTCATCTAGTGCAGACCTGGCTCCGGTGGAGCAGGACTGAGCCGCAGTACCGCCCTAGACCCCAGCTGAACTCAAGCAGCACAGGGCCAGAGACAGAAGTCCCAGGGAGGAGAGAGACTCACCTGGTGCTCGGGTCGCCAGCGCCGTCTGCCATCCTCCTGCCCTGGTCCTGCCTGGGTCTGGGAGGGTGACCCCTTGTCCCTCAGTCTCCCCCGCCTGTGTCCAGTGTGGCTGCCGACCCTGAGCAGGAAGTGGGCCCTGGGATTGACTCACAAACAGCGCCCCGCCCCGCCCCGTTGGGGAAAAGAGAAGTGAAAGTATTTGTTCGACCTCTGATGGGCCACTGCCAAGCTAGTCCTCCCTCCTCCCTCGGCCCACGGGCGCCCAGCGCTCCTGGAGTGTAGCGGGAGGATGAAGGCCTGCAGGCAGGGAAGGGGGCCCCAGGGACAAGCAGGGCCACTCCCAGGTGTCCCCTCTGTCTGTCTCTAGACGATGGTCCTTATCAGTTGTGTCCAGTCGTGACTAAGCCTGCCTCTGCCTGTGCCTGTGCCTGTGGCTGTTCCTTACAACCAGCGACTTAGTGAGTCCCAGCATGTCCATGGCAGATGCTGCTTCCAGGAGGGAAAGCTGGAAACGTCCCTCGGGCCACGGGGGAGACTGGACTGAACGCAGGAAGGTCCTGACATTCAGACCAGAGCTGGAGAGAGCGGCGTGCTCAGCCTTACAAAGGAGGCAGAACACCCTGAGCATTCCTAGGCATCAGTCAGAGGCAGGCGAGGTCTCTCCAAGCCCCTGGGGCCACATGCTGAGCCAGGTTAGGGCTAGGACTGACATTTTAGGTGCAAGGGTATAAGGTGCCTTGACTGGGAGCTGCTCTGCATCAGCAAGGGCAGAGGAAGAGACGCTGTGTGTCAAAGAAGTCACTGGACCTCTCAGTGGAGGAGGATGGAGGAAGGAGCCTGGGGGTCTAGAAGTGAAAGGGCAGGGGGTCCCAATGGGGGGACCTCTGCCTCCCAGTTATGCCTGTTTGGCTGGGGCACGGTCAGGGATGCAGCCGGCAGCCAGGGTGTGCAGACTCCAGGGCCAGGGTGGGATGGGCAAAGGGCAGAGGACTCAGAGGCCAGAAGTGGCCAGAGCTCGAAACTGATATAGTTTCACACCATGGTCCACCGAACGCCACTCCTTCTGGTGGTGAGCAAGGGTGCTGGACACTGTGGGGGGAGGACAGAGGTTCCTACCGTTGATCCACTTATCTTTCTTTCCCCAGAAGAGTGAGCACCAAACGGATGGGGCGGATTCCAGGCACTGATGAGGACATGTTTTCCAGTGGGCAGGGCCACTGTGCCTACAGGTACATACTCGTGCCGACAGGTACATACACCGCCACCCCGCCTGCGCTTTCTCTCTGGGGCAGAGGGGCTGGTCAGCTGAGCCTCATTGGGCACAGCTGTCCTCTGTCCAGTCTCTATGGGGCAGGGTGGGCCACACAAGCTCTGGCACAGACTTCACCAGCCTGTCCTGGTGAATCCCCCGGCCATCCCCGTGTAATAGGCTGGCCAGAGCCAGTGCAGAGCTGGGCGCTGACGTGAACATGTCAGGTCTCTACGTCTGCTCAAGCTCCAGGAGCCTGGAAGCCAGGGAGCAGGAGAGCAGCAATTGAGGAGGACCCCGGGCAGGGGAGTGACAGAGAGATGGCTTTGGGAGCTTCACCAAGAAGAGCTGGGACCTGCAAAGCAGGGGATGGGAGGGTGATTCCCCAGCCTGGACACCGTGCCTTGGGGACAAGAGATCTATCTCTGAGACAAGGAGTCAGCATCCCAGCCTGGAGTTTGAGGGCAGGATGCAACCCCAGCAGCTGTGGCCAATGGACACAAGTTTGGAGAGTCTGGCCTCCCTCCTGTGGGTGGGCACATGGAGAGTGAGTGCAGGGGCCTCCCGAGTCTCCTTCTGGGAGGCAGCTCATGGATCAGCACGACACACCTGCCCTCTCCCTTCTTCTGGGGCAGATTCTTCAACTAGGACTTGGTGGGTGGGAGTGTCCCCTTGTCGAGCCTCTCCATAGCCATCCACCTGCAGAGACTGGGGCTCTATTAACACCCCCAAGCTGGGTGCACAAGGACAGGGTCCAGCATGGGGCTGACGCTGTGTGGTTGACTGGAGCAGCTGGCAACCGTGTAGATAAGGCCAATTCTGAGATTCAATTTGGGGAATCACTTCATTACCACACACCTAAGCAAGGTCCCCAATTCCACTTTCATCAGGAATGAAGGAGGTTTGTTGACCTCCTTTTTGCCCATCTCTCAATTGGGTTAGAACTCAGGTGGGGGAAAAGGATGGCATGTGGGGGCCTCCTGCCCCTAAATATGTTTAGCCCATGGTCTGTGTCTGTGTGTCTCTCCCCCCCAGTTCTCTCCTACCTGAGCCCCACATGGGTGAAGAGGCTGAGGATCAGAACCCCTTGATGACTACGTCACCATGATGCAATTATCCCTCTGGCTTAGTGGTACTCGGTGGCAATATTTGGGCTTTTAAAGACTGTGGTGAGGGGGCTGGGGTTGTGGCTCAGCGGTAGAGCGCTTGCTTCACACATGCAAGGCCCCTGGGTTCGATCCTCAGCACCACATAAAAATAAACAAATAAAGGTATTATGTCCAACTACAGCTAAAAAATAAATATTACCAATAATAAAAAAAATAAAGACTGTGGTGAGACTGAGCCTCACTCCTTCTCCACCCTGCCCTTTGCTTGACAGAACTTCAACGACTGGGCTAAGGGGTGTGGAGCTTTGGTCACTCCAACCCGCAAAGTTTGCAAGAAGCAAGAGGGATGATTAGAGGTGGAAAGGATTATTTCTATGGAAGAAGAGAATGTCTGGGGAAGGGATGGACAGGAAGAGACAGAGACCATCGCAGAAGAGGAACGGGTTGAGGGTGAGGGGTTCTGAGGAGTGAAGAAGGGAAGGGAAGCACTGGAGAATGTGGGAGGTCCATCTGGCCACCTTCTGAAGGTCTGGGGTCCAGCCACGAGAAATACCTCCACAGAAGCCCTCAGTCCTTGTGTGGCAGAAGGGAGGAGGATGGCCCAGCCATGTCTCCAGTCCCCACCTGCAATCTGCATCATCGCCCACCACCTTTCAGTTTATCCTCTGTTGTAGCCACAAGCGAACAAGGACAGCTGTATCCTGTTCCCTGGTTACTGGTTGCAGAATCAGGATCCCCAGAGTCCAGTGACACTACTTTTGCTTCTTTCCTATGGTCCCCAGGCAGCCAGGGTGGGCACAGACTGACCATGTGCAGCAGAGTCCCTCTCCCATCAGCCCACAGCCCACCTGGCTCCTGGACTTGGCTCCAGCCAAGTCTACACTTCCCTCTAGTGGCCTAACTTAGTATTACAGTCTCCTTACACCTGAGTTCTTTTGGAAACAGAAATCAAAAATCCTTCTCTTTTCAAAAACAATCCAAATGCCTTGATATTTGTAGTAGAAGCTCTGTTATTTCATTTGCAGCATAATCCTGAGGTCCTTTCCAAACATGTAGATCTTGTAATTTAAAATGTGTTTAAAACATTCAATAAGCTGCAAAAACAGATGGCGCAGAATGAGCTTTTAAAGGAAGGCCTGAGAGATTCAAGGAGTGGGTTATGCTGAGAAGTTCAGGAAATGCCCTTGCCCAGTCCTGCCTCATGCACCCCAGTCTCCTTGGGGGTGGCCCTCGCCTTCCTCTACCATTCAGTGTCCTCTGACTCCTGAAGGACCGGAATCAACGTCTTAGCTCCACCCAACTCTTGCTAACTTAGGGTCCTACCTCTCTGAAAAACAGCAACCTGCTTCAGAGTCCATGATTTTGGATATCCTGGGGATTCCCAGGGGCAGCTTGCTGAGGTCGTGGGCACCAGTTAACACTCACTCACTGCCAACACTCAGAGATCTGGATCAGGATGGCTCCGTGCTGTTAACACCCGACAAGACGGAACTAGGGCTGCTCTCAGAGAGGGGGAGAAACACTTCACCCCAGTTAGGGTCCAACTGGTGCCTCTTGGGGAGCCTCGGGGTCTATCGAGCTGGGTGCCCCAGAAGCAGAGGAGACAGCATGGCTGCGGGAACTGGAGTGGGAGGCAGTTGGGTTGCACAACCACTTGAATAAAAGTGAAGCCTCTTACAAGACGGCCATTGCTAATATTTCCGCAAATCCCTCCAAATGTCCATTACTAAGAGTGGTGAGCCAGAATAACTCTGGACTTTATCGGATCCTGGGAGAGCCAGGTGAGGCGTGTGTGGTGAGAGATGGCCTCCACCAAGCACATGGAAGGAGCCCACTGGTAGCTGCCTTCCACTTGTTCTGGCTCATAAGTGGGTGCTTTTTTTCAAGTGAGGGGTCCGTGGTAGGGACCTCAGTGTTGCTGAACAGAATAAAAGATGTGGTGGAGAAGGGAAGGGTAGCTTCATGAAGACTTAGTTGTTAGAGGACAGGAAATAAGCTGTCCTAAGGAGACTCGATCATGGAAGAGGTTCAATCCAACTGTCCCTGCATAGAGGACTTGGCATCCTAAGAATATTTATCCTAAGTGTATTTCTAATAAGCGCTGATGTATACCTGCTGTCCAGCATCTAGGGGAGATGTAGGGGAAGAGACGGAGGTGGCCTTACCCACGGAAGCACTTGCTAGAAAATGTGGTGGGCGGGAGCTGGCAGAGTTGGAATACCTGGGCTCTCCCGGGGAACCGGTGTCCAGGGTCACAAAAATTCCACAGAGCATAGACTTGCACAGAGCATAAATTGGCCTTTATAACCGACCAAACATTACAGTTCTGGTTTAGGGAAACTCCAAAGTAAAGTATAACGAGCTCTCCCGAAGGCCACAGAGGTCTCTAAACTACTGTACTGTTCCCCTGCCTGGTGCACGTGCTTCTCACAGGTACGTACAACACTGCACTTGTGAAGCAGGTGGGCACCCAAAAGGGCCCCAGCACAGGCCAACCACTGGGTCTAGACAGGTCATGAAGTGGACAACACAGGAGGGTGGCCCAAGGGCTCTAGCAGGCCATTGGTGCCCTGCTGTGCAACTAGGCTTATCAGGTAAAGGCAGGCTCCAAAGCCAACAGGTGGAAGAGCTGCTCAGGAGCAGGTGGCCTCCAGGGTCTGCTGGTACTGTGGCTTTGGGGGGAAATGCTTGGCACGGTTGTGTTGGTTCTCAAAACGACGCCATTCAAGTTGTAAACCCACCCATCTCACTTGCTACACACCCATTTTCTTGGAGTACTAAGGGAAAAAACAGTAAGTTCTCTGTGATCACGTGCCAGTTCTCAACCTCTAACCAGCTCAGAATGGCTGGTGGGCTCAGTTTACTTGGTGACTTGCTTCCTCCAGAGAGAATGGAGACCCGTCTGCACTCTCCCACACATACCGCCCATGGCCTGTGGCTCCCTCTCCTATGGATAAATCTGGGAGGTGTTGAGCCCATTGAATGTGGGGTCACGGTAAATGAGCGGCTCACGTGTATCCAAGGACTCTGGGTTGAGCTATGACGACAATATGATATCCCTGAACTTTGCCTACAAGAACCAAGTATTGGGAGTTGGGTTCTTACCCACTAAGCTGCTTTGGCAGGAGGGGCCTGGATTTACCATTTATTGTTCGGACAATGTACAATGCAGGAACCCAAGGACTATTTTTTGTCTTTCCTGAATAAACACAAAGTAAAGACAACCAGTTGGAATCTACAGAACTCAGGCCACACGTCTACATGCTACCTACATGTGCCTCAGGCTCCGTCTCATTCTCACAGACCCAGAGAGGATGAATCTAGAACACACAGACCTTGTCTGAAGCGGTGTACACTCTTCCAGTCCCATATACCATGAGGTTCAGGGCAAAATGTGAATGAAGAGGAGAGAAATTTCCAATTTTGATGCAATATAGAAACAGGTGGTTTTGTGTCAGATGAAACACTGTCGACCAGACAATCTGAACATACCTGTTATTGAAAGGTCTGGCAGCTCTGATTAGTTCATTGTTCTGTAGCCCCCAACCCCACCCCCCGCCCCGTGTCCCATCAGCATCTACAGTGACTGGATGGGTAGCTAATTGCCATCTCTTGCTTGGACCAAAACAGGAACTCTACTTTAGCAGGTAACTCTGGTGGTTAGGCTCAAACGGCACTCTTGGTCTGTAGTGGAAAAAGCTCAGCCCCAGATCTGACAGATTTCGGTTTGCCCCAGGTATCAGCCACAGACTAGGGGAGGGTTTACACACACGTTTTCTATGACCCTCTCTTTTTGGACATTTTCCCCTCACTCCCCCGAAAGCCTGGTTCCTCTGGGCTCTTCCCCTGGCTCTTCCAAGCAGAAAGAAGAGCTTCCTATCAAAGTTTCAGGCCACCCAGCAAGAGTGTGGCTGTTCTTAGAGGACGAGGAAGTGGATTCACTACAGGCTGCTCCCTTTGAGTTTCGACTTCCCCCCAAAGTTTCGATTTCTCCCCAAAGCCTGCCTGCTTGTGTTCACCTTTCAGAACCCTCAGGCAGCTGGTTTTGAGTGGTGTCCAGAGTTTCTAGCTAGTTTGGAACTTTGGAGGGGAAATCCTAGCATGCTTCAAATCATTGAGTCCCTCAAACTTACCTACATGTCGTGTCTCTGAGTCGTGGTAAGGTTTACCTCTCACACCCACCATACCTGTGATGTACCCAAGGCATTCAGAATACTCAATACTTCTTGCTCTTCAGACCCATGACCACACTGTGATCCGTACAGTGGGCCAATGTAATGTGTTGCGGCAGCCAGAGGAGCTCTACTTAACAGAAAGCAGGAGAATTTCTTTTGCCCTAGTACAAGTATGCTGTTGTCTGACCCATGTAACTGCTGTGTCCTGATTACACATTCGGGAGCTGGGAAAATGACTGCCGGCTGGATTCAGTACACCCATCCTGAGATGGACATGACCTGACATCCATCCACTCTAACAGGGGGGCCAGGATGGCTCTGTGTCCCCAGATATTTGCATCAACTCCAACCCTGTGTTCAACAACTCTTGAAATATCTGTTTTTCTTTCCCTGACATGTGGTTATTTGAACAAATGGCCATAGATCCCTCTGGAGAAGAACTGAGGGAATCCGACTATTTACCCTCTCAAGGTCCTTCCTTCTGAAAACTTGCCCTCACTTTTATTGGAAATGAGCCTCATCATGAGAACTGGCTAGACTGAGGTAGCTGTCTATCGTCTTATCTCTTTTGATGATGTATATGAAGTAATATCCTCATGGGCTGAGGAACACAGTCACTTCCCGGATGAGTCTTTCCATTGTAGAGTAGGGTCACGCGAGCATGTCAATGTCCCTCGGCCACAGCAGTTTGGGCATCTCTACCTTCCACTTCATTTAATATGTACCACAGTTATTCTAAGCCTGAAATAGCCACCTGGGGCTTACAGAATCATGACCATCATCCCCTGCCAGGTTGATTAAAGTCTGTGGCACAGAAGAGCTCTCCTGTATCAAACAATTCCCCCTTATCTAGTTTTACATCTTTCCTTTCTTGATCCGGGATCTACTACCAATCTCCTAGCTCCTGTTGGTAATGTTGGCCAACCTCCATCTCCTTTGAAATATAAACCCTCTTTCAACTTGCAGCCCCACCCATAGTTTGTCCAGTTGGGTCATGCAGAGAGGCCTCCGCATGCTTAAAGTCTTCATTTAAGCAAGATGGGGATGGGTGTAGTTCCCTCTTCCAACGAGGGGAAGGGGGATTCTTTTTCATGACCAGTGGTTCAGAGGGTATAGTAGTTCAAAATTCTCATGTGCATCTACCTTGATAGCCCCGTTTTGAGTTTCAGGGCCTTGAACTTGGCATAGAGACCACCTGAGCTTGGAATCCAGTCCTTTTTGGAGTTCTGCCATTCTTAAAACCAGGACCTGCAACAGGCCTTCCTTCCTGTCTGCCTTCCAGATGCAAATATAAGGGCCTCTTGGCTTTAGAATGGCGATTAATAGATCTAAACCTGATATTCATGCTTATCAATATATTAGCAATAGCCACCAAACCCAACATTTCTTATAGTTACCCTTTCTCCCTTCTTAAATGCCAGACAAATTGCACCAGCTAGTGTGCCTCTTTTCCTGTAGCTCATCTGGCTTTCTACAGTAGAAAGGCTGCCAACTGTCCTGTTATAACATCCCAGGGACTACCAATATCCACCCATCACCATTCTGCTAGACAGTGATCCACCTCCAGGACCACTACTTAGGGTGGGTCCCTGCTGTGGTTTGGATCTGGAATGTCCTGAAAAGTGCATGCTGTCAAGGCTTGGCCCACAGTGAAGCAGTGTTCAGAGGGAATCTCTGTGGGGAAGTGACTGGATCACAAGGGCTCCGATCTCAGAGGATTAGTCAGTCGGTAACTGAATGGATGCTGAGACGCGGGGGCAATTGTAGGCAGCAGAGTCCGGTTGGAGGAAGCAGGTCCCTGGGGGTATGGCTTAGAAGGCTATTCCTTGTCCCTGGCCCTGTTCTCTTTCCTCCTTCTCTCTCTGCTTCTGAGTTGCCGCCTTCCTCGGCCATGTTCTTCCACCATGGTGTTCTGCCTCACCTCAGGCCTGGAGCAGTGGAGTCCGCCGGCCATAAACAGAAACCTCTGAAACTGCAAACCAAAAGAAATCTCTCCTCCTCTAAGTTGTTTTTCTCAGGCATTTGTCACAATGATAAAGAAAAAAACCAACAACAACAACTAACCCAGCCCCCTAGAGGCAGAGTCTGAGTTGGAGTATCTTAAGGTATTGGTTTATTGTGAAGCTCTCTCAGGAGAAGAGGAGCGAGGGAGCAACCTAACAAAGCGAGAAAGGTGAGGTCAGCTGCAGACGAGCTTCAGCCTGGTTCCGTGGGATCCGTAGCCACGGTATCCCTGGTTCTACCTTAAGGCAAGGGAACCAGCTCACAGGCTGGGCGGTGCCACCCCGGCTGAAGCTGGCTTTCTTTGGCTCAGGGATGCTAGACTTCGTAAACGGTGCTCACTGCAGCCGAGGGTGGGGGATCTTGGCAGAAAAATAAATTGCACCAGAACACCAAGAGCAGTTACTGCCCCAGTCAACTATTTTCATTTGTTTCCTGAATGGTGAACAGTCCCTTCAAATTCTTCTCGAATTCAGTCTCCAGTCTAATTCCCATTTGGCCACACTCACGGTACTGGAAAAAAAATAATAAAGACAAAAACGAAAATCTCATTATCCGTGTTGTCAGACATCTGGCCATTGAGAATGATCAGGACACTTGTTCAACGTTCTGGGGCACGTAACCAGTTCAAACTTGAAAACTCATGTAGCTAGGAGCAACACCTGTGTTCTGCTAGCATAATTAGAAAGAGATGTGAAATCATTTTGCCATGTTGGGGGACCATTACTTATTTGACTTTGGTTGTTTATTAGAGTTCAGTAAGAGTTAGAAAACGGATCTAAGTTAATAGAAGTCATGTATAAGGGGAGATCAATGATCTCTTCCTTCCTCATCACTTCTATTCCTCTACTGGGGAGTCCCTGTTAACTATATGGCCCTTGAACGTATATAGGAGCCTTGAGTTTGGGATTTCTGAGAAGTTTTAAGGAAGCTTGGCGGAAGATAAGAAGCACAAACTGACTTGAATATAAATTCTCTTTCTGGGCTGGGGTTGTGGCTCAGTGATAGAGTGCACGCCTGGCACGTTCAGGACGGAGGATTCGATCCTCAGCACCACATAAAAATAATAAATTAAAATAAAGATATTCTGTTCAACTACAACTAAAAAATAAATATAAAAAATAAATAAGTTCTCTTTCTGTGAGTATGGGAAAGGGAGGACTTGCCTGTTCTCTCTGAGCTCTGGTTGGAGGGATGGCAAATGAGTGCTTGAGAGCATGGGGCTTGCTTTGGTTACAGGGACATCTTCTGATTCACTGTTACCTAAGTCTTAAACTAAAAGATTCACTCATTTCCAGGGCCTTGCTTGTGCAGGGTTGTTAGAGGAAGACAAGGGAAACTAAACTTCCCAGGTGCCAGAAAATGAGGGGTGGAAGCAGCCAATGGGAGAAAACAGAAAGGGAAGCAGAGCGCGTCCTTACCTTGTACGAGGCCCTGTGGTTCTCAAAGATGAGGCGTATGTCCTGCACAAACCCCTTCACTTGGGAGTAACCCTGATTATTCAGCCTTCTCTTGATTTTGTTTAACCACATAGGTTCCTTCAGACTTTGACAAGTCTCCCTCATCTGCTGACAAATACACCAAGTTACTTAAGTCTTAAACTGGAAGAATTTGTGAGAGCTACTAGCACAGTTTAGTGTTTGACCTGCTATGGATTCTCATAAAATCCAATGGAAAGACAACAGGGCTGCTGTCTCACGCCCCAGGGACTGAGATCACAGATCCCATGTCAGAGTCACCTCGTATCGTGGTGGCCTGTGACCGAGGCTCTCTGCTGTTACTTACACGATGATAACGTGGATCCTTGGCAAAAATGGAGCTCTCCGAACAGCAATAGACCTTCAAGAGGAGGAACTCACATTTCTACAAGAGAAGTAGGCTGTCAATGAAAAGCAGCTTGAAAAGAAGAAACCCATATGCTCACCCCACAGAAAGCATGACTCATGCCCCCCAGCTTCAGGAAGATTCTCCAAACATGTGTAAGGGCTAAGTTATTCTTTCTGTAAACATGTTCTGGTGTGATGTCAGCATAACAGAAGCGTGGGTTGGAAGAGAAAGCTCCCTCCTAGTTCCACGTCTCTGACCCCAGGCCTGTTGGTGTTTCTCACAAGAGAAGGGAAACGAGAAGGCTTGGGGATTCCGTGGACTCACCAGCTGTTCCTCGGGCTGCATCTGCCTCTCTAGGATCTCAGATTCCCGATGACTCTCTTGACTGTCTAAGGAGCCCATCCTGCAGAAAATGCAACTCCACGGGGTCCTGGGAGATTGTGCATAAAGTGAGCAGAGAACACGGCCCCTGGAAATAGCTACTGTTCCCATAGCTGCATGTCCTCCTTTAAGGAATAGTTGGTTGATATGCTAGTTAGAACACTCCCAGAGTGTGCAAGATCCCCACATGGCAGAAACAGGATGTCAGTCCTCGGAAAGTAGTGTCATGTTGACTAATAGGATCTCCTTTCCCCCAGTGGGAATACAAGGAGCCCTGCCAACGAGGCTCAAGTATAAGAAATGGGGCTTTAACTCCTGGTGATCTTGGGTCCATGCCCATTAAAGCGTAATGAAAAGTGGGAACCAGTTGTGTTTATTTCTTTCCTGACTAAGCACAGAAGAAAAAAAAAAACCTGTCATTTCCCATTTCCAATCCATGGACATAAGTCCCTGCTGCAAAACTTTGAAGAAAGGATAATTATAGTATGTAGGCTAAGGACCCAGTCACCAGTCTCTGCATCCCCGAAGAGGTATCTCCGGTTGCACAGAGAATATTGATATTGCAGCATCTTTCAATAGCCCTCTGAATCATGCTGCTAGATCCTGGTCGCTAGGATCTCTGCTCATTCCTCATCGAGACCCAAGAGGAACACTGCAGGGCAAGTGTGCATGGCAGGGGGAAGGACTCCTAGCAGGAGAGAGAGAAGGAATCACATCTCACTCCTCAATCTTTGCTGGTGGAATGTGACAGTTCCTATGGAAGGCTCTGGAGCAAGTGTCACAGCAGAACAGCAGTCCCCTACGCCGACACACCTCACACACTTCCGAGTTTCCCATCTAGAAGAGAAAACAACAACCGTGTCACTGGGATTGGCAAGACCCCGCAAAGCCACTGCTATGGGAACCCAGAACACAAGCCTCTGGGCAAACCTGCATGGGCCCATTTGCTTCTCCCTGGGATAGTAGGTGCTTGGAGTGGAGAGTTCAGACAAGACATCTTCTGTTAAAGTTCAGGAAGAGGAGACCACGTGCCATACCAGAAAACATTTCCTCTCAAAACCAGAGATATAACACAGAAAGACCAACAGCAAAACAACGTGATGATTTTGAGGGAATCTGAATAATTTTATTACTAGCCTGCAGACAAAAGTTCCTAAAATAAATGTTGAATCCATTAGCTTATACAATAATGATGAAATTGACTCAACAAAGTGTGATTTACTAAAAGTTTATATATGAGGGAATAAACTTTTGAAATATAACTGCATCCCGTAGCCTTGGCTGTAAGCTCCCCGTAGCTGAAGGAAAGGCCTGGAGAGGCTTTGGGCTGTGGGTTCTGACTATGGAAAGTAATCAAAGATGAAAAGGTGCTGACTAATAATCATTTTGAGGTTTGTTTTGAGCTTTAGGATGAAAACACTTGTTAGGTGAATTGGGATCTTGGTCATTTTTTTTTTTATCTTAAAAATGGTCATATATGAGAAAATACTGGGCCCCTAAGGCTCCTGCTTAATGTCGTGGGGGATTCTTATGCAGATCTGCAATTGGAGATTGAAACTGCTCGGACATGGAGCCTTGGATCCATTCTTCTTCTCGTTAGTGCAGACTCATGGATTACCATCATCACTGTCAAGAAATTGATGCCTCCTCTCCCCAAACAACAAGGAAATAATGGAGGCAGCAAGTGTTTCAGAATCTTGCAATCATAATCCTTTTAACAAGATATTTGATTCCTTGACAGTCCATGGGAATCCTCAGTGGAGAGTACACAAACTACCACGTCCTGGTCCCAACACCAGAGACCAAGTCATGTGGTCTGGGTTGGGGCACCAGCATAGAACAAGTATTTCCTCTTTAAGTCATAGAACAAGTATTTCTGTGCAGCAGAATCATCTGAAGCCTTTGAACAAGTCCTAGTCCAAACTAGTTAAGAATCAGAATTTTCTCTGGGGGCAGGATCCAGGCAACAATGCTTTTTACACCTTTTCAGGTGATTCTGGTGTCAAATTTGAGATTCAGCCTGAGCCAAGTCTGGTTATTGAGGCCTGGAGATGTATAGGTCAGGGTTGTTCAGCCTTAATATCTATCCCAGGAAACATTAACAGGGGAGAGGATACCTTTGCTGGATAGTTTCCCTCTTCTCCCTACGACTCCTGGCCATAGACCGTATGACCTAATCCTTTGTCTACATCTATCCCTCACAAGCCACACAAATACTGGACTCCAGGGCTGTTTTGACTATTGAAGACGCCCTCTGCAGAACAAGGGTAAAAACCAGTGTGAATAAGATCTAAATCTGGTTGGAGAATTGCTGTGGAGGTGTGTGTAAAACCACTTTGCTATGCCTCTTCTGCTGAGTGTCATGAATGGAAGACACTCTTTGCAAGTATTGACCCATAATTGAGTGAAAAGCTAACATGGCCTAAAATCTGCATCTTATTGCCATGAAAGGAACCCAGATATGATTCAGCTCAAAGAGAGGAGTCATCCATGATTTCAGCAGACCCCAAAGCAGGAAGCCATATGGCAAACAGGACCCATGGGATCAGAATGGTTTGTACATTATTAAGCACCAGCCAAACAAGTTTGAATAAACTATGATTTGCTAAGTGGTGATGGTTTCAGTCTTAGCCATCTCAGCCTCCTAATGGCTGCCTTGAGACTGGCTACAGTCTTTCTTTCCTTCCTCCTTCCTTCCCTCCCTCCCTCCCTTCCTTCCTTCCTTCCTTCCTTCCTTCCTTCCTTTCTTCCTTCCTTTTCTTTTTGGTACTAGGGATTGAATCCAAGGGCACTTAACCACTAAGCCATCCCCAGCCCTGTTTTCTGTTTTATTTAGAGACAGGGTCTCACTGAGTTGCTTAGGGCATCACTAAGTTGCTGAGGCTGGCTTTGAACTCAGAAACCTCCTGCCTCAACCTCCTGAGCCACTGGCACTAGAGGTGGGCACCACTGTGCTGGGTGTTTGGTGTGCATTTCTATGCAGGACTAAGAACTATGTAAGACTAAGGATGTTAGTACTTACATCAGGTTCAACATTGTTGTGAGTCTGTGGTGTTGTCTGTTGAAAGAAAAATATTCGGTGGCTACGTTGCATGTGATGTTTGAATCTATCACTTATTTAAACAATCATGTTTCAAGGGATTCAAGTAACTGTTATTTCAATAATAAATTAATTGGGAAGTCAGTGGGTTGGGTTAGCTTCAGGACTTTAAGTTTCCACAGCTTGAACTCCCCAGTTGGGCCCAGCCTATCCCCTCAGGGTGGTGCTGAATACCATCTTGAGCTCTGCCTGCATCTGGGTGGACGTCACATATTTTCCTTACCACCCTTTCCATCCCCACTGACTTCTTTAAAGTGCTGTTTTCCTCTCAAAGTTGCTGTATGCCCCTCATCTTCAGGCCATTCCTGACCATCCCTACTTCAATTCTGCCTCTAGATCTCTGCTTCCCACACCCACTTGGAGGGGGGACGAGGCACGGGAAGTTTTCCACTGAAATATAAGGGAAGGGTACTTTCAGTGGAGACACCCAGTGTCAGACCCATGTCCCTGTCTTGATATTCTTTGTTCATTGCACACAGCAACATACTACAGTGAGTGAGTGCACTTCGGGGAAAAGCAGTCATGACACAGGAAATGTGCTTGGAAAAAGGTCTTATGGGTCTGGGGATACAGCTGGGAGTTAGTACTTACATCCGGGTCAACATTGTTGTGAGTCTGTAGTGTTGTCTGTTGAAAGAAAAATATTCGGTGACTATGTTGCATGAGACATTTGAATCTATCACTTATTTAAACAATCATGATTCAAGAGATTCAAGTAACAGTCATTTAAAAAATAAATTAATTAGGAAATCAGTGGGTTAGGTTGGCTCAGGACTTTAAGTGTCCACATAAAAATGGGGAGCCCAATGAAAACAGTAAGGAGAAACTAGTGACTTTAGTAATTAAAAAAAAAATAACAGCTAATCTTTAACCAGGGTCTTTCCACTCTAACCAATTAAACGTATCTTCTCTGTCTTACTTCCACCTTAGCCCATGAAAGTGGCCTGCTCACGCTGGTGCATCGGAGCTCAGCGGTGTTCTTACCTGAGTGCTGCCCAACTCATGACCCTCTTGTCGCTCAAACAAGCTCATCAAATTTATTTTGTCTAGAGATTTTTCTCTCTACACAATATGCCTTTTATTCCATCCCTTTTTATGTTGGCCTACGCATCTATTAGGAGAACAAGAAGTGCCAACGAGCTCTGTGTGGCCAATGCACACTCCCTTCCCCAGCTCTTCAATTCACGGTGGGCCTTCGTGTTGCCAAGAGGGGACCCAGGACCTGGTTTCCACAGACTGAATTGGAGAAATTTTACCTGTCCTGTTGCTTCAAGGGGTTCTCAGCCATTTTCCTTCAACTTGGCTGCCCAGGATCTGCCAGCCCACCCACAGGAGCTGCAGCGAGAATCAGTCTGAGGACTTAGCAGTCACAGCCCTCAGTAACCACAGGGCCAGGTCCTGGAACCCAAGGAAGCCCACGGAGAACTCTCCTACTTTCTGAAGCTCTCCTAGGGATTCTCCCTAAAGATAAAATATATAAAAAGTCCCCAGGACTGAAGTTCTTCTCCCTGAATGTCCCCCTCCTTGCTCCTCTATCCAAATCCCAAGAAGATGTCAGCTGGCTGACTTTTCAGAGAAAATTCTAGATTTGTTTACATTGCCTTTAAACATCCAGTACAACGAGCTAGCATTCTTCACTTCGGAGATATGTGCAAACTCAACTCTTACCTCTATCCCAGGATGGAGAGACCATAGACGAGTGGGACCTAAGGGACAATACCCTCAGAGGTGGCCATGTCACTGCCCACCTTTGACCAGCTTATTATTATTCCATTTTCACAATGAATTGACACAGTCCTTAAGGTCAGGAATACAGTTTCAATCTTCTCTAGTGACCACTGGACACTTAGGATGTGTTCATTAATCATGTGTCACGTACTGGAAAGTTCTCACCTGGTGCTCATGGTGACACTGAAGTTTTCAGGAGCCAAGTGGCTCTGAAAGCAAGGGACACTCCAAGAGGCCCTGAAGACCTATGGAAGTAGAATGGATCCTGGGATCTGCCACTCTGGAGAGCATCTGCTCTCACCAACAAGGAGACACAATATACAGAGGCAACTGCAGCTTGTAGGCCAAGCATTGCACTCATGATAGGGTAGATTCTGTTGGTTGGAAATTTCCAGCTCATTCTCATAATGTGGTCTGAGTTACTCTTGACACCTTGGGAAAGTTAGAGCCACTTGTCTTTAAAGCACTCACCAAGTAGGCAAAAAATAGTCTCCTTTTAGGAAACCCATTGGATGAAATATTCCAGGGGCTGAGAGTTCAAACCAGTGAGACCACTGATATTGCAAAGGCTGAGATTTCAAATTCTAACATGAAGTCCAGAGGTCAGTGATGTCTTAGAAGTCTGTGAATGTCTTGAGTGGCTCTTTCTACCTACAGTATATAAGAAGGGCACTTCTCCCCTTCGCCTCCTCTTTCTCAGGTTATCATTCATACTCAGTGTTGGAAAAACTGTCGCCTTGCCCTGATTCTACACCACACTCAACCTATTTGTTTGTTGCCTTCTTTCATAGAAGGACAAACCGCTTCTCACAAATAATAGTTTGCATGCACAATCCTTCTGATGGAGCAAAAGTGGTGGTGTCCAGTTCAGCACATCCTGTATAGATGTACCTACTTTCCAAGACCTACCTCTCCAACAACACTGTCCTTATTTATGAAAGGCAAATAATTTTCCCTTGAGAAAGATCTCTATGTGCCTATGTATATATTTAGTTGGAAAGTGGAAGAGGATGTGAAGGACCAGAAAAGGAATATGCTTTTGGTTGTATTACTCATAAAATGATATGTAATTTCACATAGGTCCCATGAAAAACTATTAGTTCAAGCTCATCAAAATGACTGTGAGCAGAAGAAATAGCTCAGTTGGTAGCATGCTTGCCTCACATGCACAAGGCCCTGAGTTCAACCCCCAGCACCATAAAACAAAACTGACTATGAGCAAACTTTTGCTCCATCAAATTTTATTAAAACTAGAGAAACTCTTGGCTTGAGTTGAAGATGACTCTATCACATGATTATGAGATGTTTTTATGTATTCCACAATTATGTTTGCCTTTTCAACTTTGATGCCCTTAAAACAATTTCAGTATTGCTGACACACTTCCATGAGGTCTATTTTGATGGCTCCCTATCATCTCCACTTCTCATGGATTAACAAAGAAGACCTAGCTTTATATACAGCATTGTACTCAAAAGTCACAATTCTGAAGGTGCATGTGCCCCCATCCAAAATGAAAGAAAAAATAAAGGAAGGGGTGGAGGAGGTATAAGATTATTTATGATTACCCACTTGAGATGCCATAAATAAGACACTGTACATGTAAAGTCATATGTGGTGAGAACTTGTAGAAAGTTATATAATGATCACCTTTTTTTTCCTGTGATATATTCTTGGAGGATGAGGTAGAAATCCTTCCTGCAAGATAAAAAGATTCAACTCCATGGTTACTCTGGGTTTCTGTTTGGTGAGCCTGCATAGCCAACCTCCTCCCAAATATTTCTGCCTGCATGCTCCGCTGCCAGTTGAGATTCAAGGTGTCTAAATGAGAATCTTTCTTTTCTCACTTGCCTCTTACAGATTTCAACAAATGATAGTTGGAAAGTCACCCGTAGAACCTTCTCCCTTTCTCTTGTCCTCTTTTCTAAGTCTCTGAGAGGCTTTCCTCAGACAGCCTTTACCTATTTCCATTCCCACAGGACGCTCAAGTTTGAATTCCTACACTAGGACTATCCAGGCAACACACAATTATTGCCCAATATCTATTGGAACCTCTAATAGATATTGAGCATGCAAAGAAGACACATGTAGAACCCTGGAGAGGTCTAGAGAAGAAGAAAGCTCAAGGAAGTACAAATCTAAAATAATCGGAGAGGAATCTTAGTGGTGGGCTCAGAGAGCCCTGGGAGGGGATGATGAGGGGCTGGGACATTTAGGGAGGGGTGACACATTTTAACTGAGCATTCTGTGTTTGATATAGATTGCTGAGTGCAGAGACAGGGAAGCTGTTTCAAAGCAACGTGGCTATCTAACACACTGTTTTAGGGGACTGAGGTGTAGCCCAAAGGTAGAGTGCATGCTTAGCATGCATGAGGCCCTGGGCTCAACCCCGCACCAAAATTAAGACAAAACTGTTTTAAATGTTATTTCCAACAACAAAGATTTTGCTGATTCTATGTTGACTAAATGATGAATTAGAACCAATTAGCATAGCATTAGAACCCTCCACCAATGATCCCCAAAACATGTCTTATTGCATACAACCCATCAATCTAAATCCACAGTGCTATGTCAGTAATGCCTTTCTCTGGAGTGTCTTCTTGCATTGTTTGACTGTAGACTTTTTTTTTTTTAAACACAGAAAGTTTCTGCATTTACTCTAATTGGAATGGCCACTCCCTCCTCTAAGGTTCTGCATCTACCCTTTGCAACATTCATGTGCTGTACCATCCTGGAGTTACAAATGTGGGACCCCTGGCTTTGAGTCAAAGGAAAAGTGCAGAGTAATCAGGGCTGTATCTATAACTCACAAACATTTGATGATGAAATAGTGACCTGATTATTAAGATGCAACAAGAGGGGTCCACCTCTTGCCCTTGTGAACGGAATACCTGCATCAGCCATAACAGGGGCCGCCCGCCACAGTACACACTCTGTTTCCAGTACTTGGATCTTGCGTAGCCTCCTTTGATTTCAAATTCACGGGGCGTGAGCCAGTCTCCAGTCTCACTCAGTATACACTTTATGGAGATTCCTGTAAGACCAGAGAAGGTTGGTCCCCATTTCTGTTTGTCCCCAAAGTTTAAGACTTCAGCCTCCCACCATCCAAATTGGGCTCAAGGTCAATAGCAGAAGTCCCACCTCTCAGATTTCAGGGGACCCAAACCCAGCCTGAAAGTTCCCTGAAAGGAGATTTCTGGCAGGGTGTGTACATTTCTTTGATCTTCGCATGAAGAAAGTAACAATTACCATGAAAAGCAAGCTTTTAAAAATATCTAGGAATCACCTACAAGAGGAAACGCACGCAATTCCTAAGAATGAGAGGATTTCAATTTGTTGTCGGGTTCTAGAGATAGAGAACATTGATTTGCATGCTCTAAATAGTGAACTGAATTATATGTGAAGAATGATATTTCAGTAAAGCTGTTTTAAAAATTAACATCCAAAGACCCATATTAAGAGGGGTCTGAGCAGTGTAACTCCACATCATACACAATCGCAAGGATGGAAGTTATACTCCGTGTGGTAGGATTCGTCAAAATACGTTCTACTGTCATGTATAACTAAAAAGGACAAATTAAAAAAAATTTTAAAAGGAGAGGTCTGAGATGAAGTCCATCATCATGAACTATTTTTGAAAGGCCTTAGAAACTATGGTTATAAAATATGTTGTATCAATTCTACACATTAATTCTTACAGCAATACTAGGATGCAGGTTTTTAAAATTATTTTCCCCTTTCGTAGATAAAAAATTTCAGGCTCAGCAAGACCTCCTTCTCTCATGAGAGTGAAACAGGGGCTGCGGATATAGCTCAGTTGGTAGAGTGCTTCAGCCTTGCATGCACAAGGCCCTGGGTTCGATCCCCAGAACTGCTGGAACAGGAACTCAGGTTTCCTGATCCAAACCTAAATCCTGTGATCTCACCAGGTCAAGCATCCTGCCCTGTGATGATGATCCAGCAGGAGAGAGGGTATAGAGGTAGAGGCTGAGGTCTATCTCTAGTTATAAGTAAAATATTTTATTTCCCACCTCTGGATGGAATTTCCTGCACTTATCTTTGGTTCTTTGGGTATTACTATGGACAAGCCCATGTGAGAGCATCTAATATATGTGATTTCTCAGTGTAAAAATATCATCTTAAGAATTCCTTCCTCCTTCTCTCAAGTCAAACTAGAGACTCAGCTCCTTGAATGTTGAGTTATTCACATGACTAATTCCCTTCCTTCCTGGGAATCCTTCAGATAGTAGTTACAAATTAAAGAAGACAGTGAAACCCACCTTTTTCCAATTTCTCCTTAAATAAAATTCCTTTCAGCTCACCACAGCTCACAGGAAGTAATGGAGCACAAAAATCCACAAATTGATTTCTGACCTTTCTTGAACCTGCAAGAGAAGGGTCTTCATCCCAGTTCACTTTCCAATTGCACATGCCCCCTCCTCCCTTATTGAGGTCATTCCTGTAACGGCAGGAAGTACTTAAGGAAATTCAGCCCCACAAATCTCAAGAGTTAACATCATTGTCCAAGTAGTATTTTGGATAGATAATAATGAAATGTCTCCCTTGATTTCACACAAACTGAAATGCTTTAGCAGAGAAACCAGGCTCCAATAAAACTGTTATGATTCTCAATCTAGTGAGCTCCACCGATTCTTACATGAGCATAAAATAGACAGTTACTGTCACTGTTCTGGTGAGGTCTCCAGCAATGCAGTTTTGCCACAGGTGGTGGCCAGAGACAGAGCCAGGGATGGTAGTCCCACTTCCCCATCCGAGCACTGACCAGGCAAGCAGAGGGCGGAGGAGGATGGAGACGGGGTCTGCTTCCTATTGTTCTCTGCTTTACTTAGACTTCATTTTCCCCTTTCTCTATAGGTTAGGAAGGAGCTCAGGGAGTTCTAGAATGATTGGAAAATTATAGAGGGGAGGGAAATGGAGACCTGACTCCACAGAAGTGGGGGTGAAAAGTCTTGAAACAAATTCCGGGCGGATGAAGAGCTAATCTAGCTTCTGACCAATGTGGCAGACGCCATGATGGAGGGAGGGAGCTGTGTTTGGTCCTAGGACTGAATCTGGGACAGGTAGATGTCCAATCAGGACTGGAAGGTTCTGTGAAGGATGGCTGGCCCAATTTCCCCTTTCAATTAACAGATGAGAAAACTGAGGCAAAAGACGTCAAGTGTTAGGCCCAAGTGCTCACAGTCAAAGGGCAAGAAAACCCTAGGACAAGTCCTCTGACCACCACGTTGGCCACCTTGGTGTGCAGTCACAGACTGTTCCCTGGATATGGCCTGACTATTTGCAGCCTTGAACGTTATCTGTTCAATGAAGGCAGCGCTGCAGTAGCCCTGAGCCCCTGGAGTCTGGTTTCAGACATGACATAGAGTTTCTCATTTCTCTCCCAAATACATTGACTAAATGGGACACATTTCTCAGAAGTTACCATTGCTACATGAAGTCATGAAGCAACTGGGGAAACAGGTTTATTAAAAAAAAAAGAGAGAGAAAAGAAAAAAATAAGCAGAGAAAAAGACCTGGAAATCAGATATTTAGCCATTGAAAATACATTGTATTCTTCTCCTTCTTTACCTCTTGATCCTCTTTGCCATGCGACTCTAGCTTTCTGAGTTAGGTGGATTCTAGATCTGCCTCTCTTTCTCTCTGAGAAAACAGAAAAATATAATCACCACACTGAATATGTTGGCACTTTTTAAAAATTGCACTTAAATGTAGCTTCCCCAAAACCAAGAATTAAATGGCTAATCTTAGGCTCATCTTATGTTTCATTTTCATATCCCTACATCAATAAAAAAACTAATTGAAATCAGTATTTCACTTGTATCTCAGGAAGCAGTGTGTTGAGTCTTAGTACATAACCTTTATTCTACTAATTTATTTAATATTTTTAATCTACTAATTTGTTTAATATTTGCAACAAATAAAGGTGGTGATGATAAAGGTGAGATAAAGGTGATGACGATTAGAGAGAATATTAGAAAATATTTAAGAAAATTGAGACGAAACTAAGAGTTTAAGTGAAGACATTGTAAGTTTGTCTTAGTGGAGAGAAAAGAACAAATCCAGTTCTGTGAGTACAGGGAAATCTTTTGAGGTGTTCCAGGTGAGATACTTGCTTGTATATCAACTTGAATGAAGGTATCTGCGCTTTTGTTCTGAAAGTGACCATAAAGGGAACCAAAGGCTTTGTTCACTGGGGTTTGGACAGAGATATTTGGATCTGAGAAACTAACCAGGAGAAGACTAGTCAAGAAAATTGAGTCTTCTGGAAATTGTTTCAAATAGTAATTATAGCCTGACTTGGAAAGCGCTTCAGAAAGAATATACTTCCATTTACAAGTTAACTGGCTGTGGATGGGAATCTCAATATTTTCCATCACTCAAATTGTGTTTTATCTGCTAAAGAAGCAATACAATTTTTTTCTCCTTTCTTATATCCAAAGTTTACCACTCACGGACCACCATCTAGTGGTGCTAGTTGAAGTTACACAGACCCCATGAGAAAAAAATCTCCTGACTATGCAGTCTCAGGGGCTGTCAACTCTCCCGTGTTAGGCTGCGAAATTGAAAGGATCTTCGTTTTATTCAAACCCAAAGTGTTCCTGGTACTTGGTAATATAATTCCACTTTCTGTTCTTCAGACTGAACAATTACTGTTATTTAAATCCATAATGGTCTGTGGGACAAATATTGGTAATTGGGCAACCTTATCCCAAGACCAAACAACTTTCATCCTTACAAACTATAACTCCATTGATATTTAATCAAAATACTGGGAACTCAAACAAGAGTTCTAGGAGAGTTGGAAAAACTCATGGAAGAAAGTAGGGTATCAGCAGCCGAGGGCTAAGGAAAACTAATAAAATGATGGAAATGTAATCCTCAGGGAGAATATTAATCTGCTTGCTCCCTCTTGCTTCCTCTCTCTGGCCAGCACATTCACCAGGCTCTCCCAGGGGCTCTCCTCTCCCCTCTCACCCAAGACACCAGTAGGACTCTGGATAGCAAGGACATCTCTGGGTGTTCCTTCCACCCCCTTCTCCTCCGAGGGTCCACACTCAGAGCCCATTGAGAAGAGATTCAGACGTCTTATTCTTGCTTCTCTTTCTCCTCCTATATTCCATCTAGGCTGCACATTACAGCTCTGACCACACCTCAGACAGGCTGACAAAGACAGAGTTCTTTCTTGCTTTCTATCTATCTCTGTCTGCTTACATCTTTTCTGAGACCAGTAGCCATATTGTGTTTATCTTCATCAAACCTGTTTAAGCCTAATACTTGTAGGAGGAAAAAGCAAACATATTGAAGTCTACTCTAGCCCTTGGATCCTTTGGTATAAGGAGATTTGAAGCTTACATCCAGCTAGCCCATAATATGGCACTATTGTGTTTTCTCTCAAAACAGAGTGGCTGAGCTAGGCAAGATTCAACTTATTGTGCTCTTAAGTTAAAATACCCACTTAATAATACTCAAATCCCATCACAAATTCTCTTAAATACAATATGGTCAGAATATAATTTTAAATTATCATAAAATGATTGTTATGGATGGTATTGATTAAACTCTAGAATTAAGTGTGACACAGTTGTCAATTTCCTCCTTTTTTCTCAAAACTTTAGTAGACATCCCAATAGTTGGGAACAATTCAATAAGTGCCAAGTAGGGTGACCCTTATCTGCCCAGGACTAAGAAAATGCCCAGGATACCGGAGTTTCAGGGGAAAAACTGGAAAATCCAGGCAGCCAGGGTGAGTTGGTCACTCTAGTTCCAAGCACCCATATCCCAAGAAAATGCACCAGGTCGTCTGCACAGTGTTGGCAGAACTGGTTGTGCCAAGTCACGTCCAGGTGGCAGAAGAAAGGCTACATTTCTTTTGAAAGAAGTCAATTGTGGTGCCTGATGCCTCCCCGTCCCTCAAAGGGCAACTGATGAAAGCGTCTCCACTCCATTTCCAATGCCCTTCCATGGCTGTGCCTGTCAAGCAAGACCCCTCCTCACTCATCTCTCCTGTCTTCCTGCTCCCCAATCCTGGATGGGCCCAAGCCAGCAGCTATTGAATAGGGGTAGAGTTTAGAGAGAACAAGAGAAGACGGCAACCACGCCAACCCCTGCTTTACAACCAAAGAGGAAGAAAGGTCAGGTGGTGGGCAGATGAGAATAGAAACACAAAGAGTGTGCAACTCTGGTTCCAAGTGAGTTTGCTTTTGAGATTTCACTGCTCTCAAATCAACTAAGAAATTTGACTAGTAAAAAATTAAGGAGGATTTAGATTCCTCGAAACTGTAGCAAAATCTGTACTGACCTGCAATGCGGAGGTAACGTGCTACCGATTTTGTCCTACCCCTGATCCTAGCAGGGCCTCGCAGGTTCATTTTCACCGCCTCGTTGCTGGACGCCTTGTGGTCATTAGCTGTGCTGTTGCCTGTGGACAGACATGGGAAAGGGAGAGTTGGGCAGAACCACAGGTGACAGGTGGGAACAAAAAGAAGCGAGGCTGTCCTGGGTTTGCTTTGGACCCTTTACTGCACACGCTCAGACGAGCAAGTGAATGCCAAGCAAACTCCAGCAGGGGTCCAGGGCGCTTTCTATCCTAGGAGGGTCCACTGTTAAATGACAGGCAAGATTTGTTGTTTTTTTTTCTTTAATTTTTGGTACAAGGGATTGAACTCAGGGGCGCTCGGCCACTGAGCCACACCCCATCCCTATTTTGTATTTTATTTAGAGACACGTCTCACTGAGTTGCTTAGCACCTCGCTTTTGCTGACTCTGGCTTTGAACTCATGATCCTCCTGCCTCCGCCTCCTGAGCTGCTGGGATTATAGGCATGCGCCACTGCACCTGGCAATGTGCAAGATCTAATCATGCTTTGGAAAGAAGTCTCCTAGAATTTGTCTACATGCACATAGACTTAAGTGAAGTGTTATAATGACTTAGTCCAAATAATTTATCATTTTGAAAATACCATTTATAAAATGGATGCAACCATTTTTTTTCCTTTTCAAACAAAAATGTACACATCCACCTATAGGGGAGCCATATAATTGTCAAAAACATAAGATGTATATGGTTTGGTGAAAATTTTAATTCTTAATAGGATTTTTAAAATCTGCTGTTTCAAAATTGAGAGTCATTCGGAAAACAAGGGTTAGCCTTCATTTCTAGGAGAAAGGAATTCCCTAGACCTTTTATAAAATAAGATTTGGGGGCTGGATGTTGTGGCTCATGTCTGAAATACCAGCAACTTGGAGGCTGTAAGTTTAAGGCCAGTCTCAACAACTTAATGAGACCCTCAAGCAACTTAGTGAGACCTTGTCTGAAAAAAAAAAGTAGAAAGGGCTTTTTTTTTAAAGTAGTAAAGAAGCACCCCCTGCATTCAATCCCCTGTAACAAAAAACAAACAAACCAACAAACAAAAAACCTTCAAAATAATAAGATTTTAGTGAACTGATTATAAATAGTATATACATTAAAGAATTTTAGAAAATAAAATTGTATGAAACATTACAATGTAGAGAAGTCACAACTAACTTGTTCAAAAATATTCTCTTTGCATGTATTACTTTTTAAAAATTTTTAAAAATATTTATTTTTTAGTTGTAGTTGGACACAATTCCTTTATTTTGTTTATTTATTTTTATGGGGTACTGAGGATCAAACCCAGGGCCTCACTCATGCTAGCGAGCACTCTATTGCTGAGCCATTACTTTTTAAATAACGTTTTTGCATTACAAAAGCTGAACATTTAAATATTTTAATATATACACATACATTTTAAGACTACAAATAAAAATATAAACACCTTTATTCCATTGACCAAGAGTAACCAATGCACATAGTTTTATGGTTGAACTACCACTGATTTTTCTATATGTCCACATCTATGTCCCTATATTCAGATAAATATATATGTACAGATCTGAATTTATAGACATTTAAATACATACTTTCATAAATATATATGTTTACACACATGTATTTTTTATAATGCCCATACATGCCCACATGCATATGCATACATAGAAAACCTAATTTGTTCATTTATGCTTCTTTGGGACATCTTTCCAAGTAATAAGAATTTCTCAAACTAGGAAATAATACTGAGAATGGCAACACCTCCCTATATTAACTGAGGATCATTTACTGTTGGATGAGTCAGTAACATGTATGAGAAATAAACCATTTTGTAAAAGCCATTGTATTTAGGGACCTCTTGTTTCAGCATCTTAGCCTACCCAATACAGTAGCTATGAAACCACTATGGCCTGCCTCCAAGCATACAATGAGCAGTGCCTTAATAAACTCACAGGATGAACCTACTTCACTTTGCCTACTTACCTTTTTGAAGTATGTTTTGTGGCCTTTTCCTTCTTATTCTTGACCAGTTATGTCCTTTCTTTTTTCCTTCAAAAAATAATGAAGTGAATCATTCAGGGCTATAAATCGAAGTCTCCAAGCCTTATATGTCAGTAGTATTCAAGAACTATTTGCAATGGGGAAAAACTCTCAACACCCAATATAGCAACGTGGAGGTTGATTAGAGAGTAAAATTTTAATCCAGCCTGTGCATTGGCTCCCAAGCTTGGGAGACTGTCAGAGCCACATTTCTTTGAAAATTCAAAGAGGAGGAAATAAACTCCTGCCTTCTAACTAGATGACAACTGTCACTGTTATTTATTAGTGCTTCCTTTTCAAGCGTTTTTCATGTAAATTCAAATGTGCAAGGAGAAGGCACATTTCTTGAGTCTGACAATGTGATGGGTAACAGACTGTCCTGGAAGTTGGGGTAAGTTCTCAACAGGGATGTGGAGAGTCTTTGTTAAATAATCTCTATACTCTTGCAGTTGCAATGCAAATCCTCTCACATATTTAATCTAGCTCTCAAAGAACCTGGAGCACTTTAAGGAACCACAGTGGGTTCTTTGTTTTGCTGTTGTGGCTTTCCTTTGAATGATTTGAATGCAAGGAATGAATGCATAAGACCACAGGCACTGAGCGAATGGAGACTGTATAGAATTATTGGCAACTATAGTGACAGCCACCTTCTAGAGTTGCATTTGCTAGAAGTGAAAGCATGACTGGAGGAGAGAGGCCTTGACTCCCCCACCTGAGAAGCCCATCTTGGGTGGGTCAACTCAGGCTCCAGAACTGACGAGGAAGGTTGGTTCAAAAACACCTTGCTCTTCAACCGGAAACGGAAGAGTCAAGAACACAGGGACTTCGCCTAGTGGCACCTCTGCTTCAAGCCTGAAGCAAACCTCTGGGTTGGTGGGTCCTCGGCTCATTGAGATTCCCCTGAGGCCCGGGCCTGGTTCATTCATGCTTGGTGAGGCTGGACTGCTATGGCTGTTCAGCCTCAGAGACAGCTATGCAGAGCTAAGAGTGGACGTGGTCACTCCTCCTGGCTGGCAGAACTCAAGACGATTGGGTTTTGCTTCAGTGACTTACATATTTGGTCTACCACATGGGAAAACCATAGGAGTGGCAGAAAAGACATGCTTCTCTGGGGCCATGAGCTGTGGAAACAGTCTCTGGTTGCCAAAAGGCCTGGTGGGTGGGTCTCTCATGGAAGTGCCAAGTAGTGACTGGTCTCTGCTGTTGGCAGCTGATGCTGTTTCTCTCTTGCTGCCTGCTAGCTTTGCGACTCCTGCTGGAAGCTGACCTATTGTCCCTTGAGGGGGAAACCAAGGTGCTTTGATTGCTCCTGGTACATAGATCAGACCTTCGAGCCCCTCTTAGGGCTGTTGGCAGTGCCTCAACACCCACCCCTCAGGTGGCAGGTAGCTGACTTGGGCCACGCCCTTGCAACCATGGAAACTCACCAGTGTCATGCCTGACGATGAGGACCATCTGCAGCCTGTTAGGGACGTGCCCTTTACCAAACAGGTGTGCCACAGCGTGCTCACTGCCTGACTCTGTGACCCTCCTCTCCTCCTGTCCACATACCTTGCAGGGCAGTTTGCTCACGAAAGGAAGCAGTGCAGAAAGGGACCACTGCCTTCCTGGATGATGATCAGGACAAAAGTGAGGGATGGAGTCCTTATAGGTGATAGACGAGCCTCTCTTGGAAATTCAGGCCTCTGTTCTGACCATTTCTCATTCTTTCCTCCATAACTCAGTGTATACAGCTTTCAGAGTGCCCAGGGGAGTCTGGTTTAATTCCAGTTACATTGCCTAAAAATTCTTTTGCCCTGCTTGTATCAGACCCTTGTGGATGGAAGGTCTTGGTGAGAAAAGGAGATGATTAGAAAAAAAGATGAAGCTACAGCCACTGGAATGGCACACACAGCTTGTGCGGCAGCAAAGTGAGAGCAAGACTCCAAGCATCAGAGAAGGAACGTCTCAGCCCCTAGAAGGTAGGCAGGAAAGAGGAGCACTGATAATGTCTGCCTTTCAGAACTGCCACTAGGTCCCTTGTCCATAGGAAAACACCCTGGTGCGGCCCTCTCACCACCGGGGATACAGAGATGAATGCCACCTATTGCCATCGTGGACGAAGGGTGGATTGGACACACTGTCCTCAGTCAGTATCCTCCCAAGTCAATGAGCAGAACAGGAAACTGAGGCTTACAGCTGTCCAGAGGCCATGCTAGAGGCACTGTCACCTCCCCTCTCCTAACAGGGAGCAGCTCAGTACTGGAAACACTTCTTTTCCAGGGGACCATGTGTGCCCTGGGGCTTGGACTTCTTGTGTGAAAGCCAGGCTATTAACCTGCCCCCTCATGCCAACAGGGCCACTTGTACTTTAGAGGTGGTGTCAGAGACCTAAAGCAGTTGTGGTTCATGACATTTATCAAATACTGTGGGAAACAAATCCAATTTGCTCTGAGTCGCCTTTTAAGGCTGGGAGTTTCCTATGCATTGTGTCCCTCAGCTGCCACAGCCCTGGGTGTGCGTCACCTGCTCAGGCCTCCTCCATAGCATGATCTTCACGGATCTGGGACGCACACCCAGGGGGAGAGCTGATACATCTATCCTGTGGCAGAGCATTTCACGCCTATGTATTTATGCAAGAGGTAGGAAAGCGCCTGGCCCCACACAGACTTCCACAGGACGTTCATGGAGGCTTTCTCATTAGAGCTCAAGCCGGAGACTTGGAGGCATCTGAAGATTGGAGACTGTATAGACAATGGTGAATCCAGACAATGCACACCACTCAGCAATAAAAAGAAACTACTGCCACACTCACAATGTGGATGAACCTCAAAAGCTTTATGCAGAGTGAAGGGATGCTTATGCGAATGAAAACATGCTGTGAACCTTAATTATATAAAAAGTTTTAAAACAACCCAAATTAAGTTATCATGAAAAAAAAAATAAAGAGTAGCAGTTGCTCTCTAGGCATGGGGCAGAAAGGGCATAGGGTGATGTCAATTTCTATTGTACAGAATGATACAATTACCAGGATGCATCAGATGGTAAACTTGATATTTATATTTTATTATAAATTGTTTAAAAAGGATTGCAAAAAATATTGAACTCCAGGTAATGATATGTGTGTTGAAGTGTGTGCAGGGAGGTGTACTGATTTCTGCAACTTTCTGGAGTTAACAAATGGACAGAGAAACGGATGGCTAGAAATGTGGTAAAGCCATAACACAGGAATAATACAACAGCATCTGTGAATGCATGTGAACGGACACTTGTGTTCACCCAAATATTCTCCCAGGTTCTCTGGGTGTTTAAAAATTTCATGATTCAATGTTCATGGAAAATGTACTTGGAGAGAAAACAGATTACTTGCCAAGAATGAACAGTTACAATAAAAAGTATTTTCATCAGGCACACACTGAGTCCTGAAGGCGATGTGGTGATCACTTTACTGCACTGAGAAATACATGTCAACATCAAATCGTCAACTTAGATTTTAAAAACCTATAAAAATAAAGATAATTTGCACATACAGGACTTGGAAAAAACTTACTACTTAGAGATCACTCGCTAAAATACCTGAAGGATTTACTTCAGCTAGATAAAGAGTGGAGCCAAAGAAAAAAATAATTATTGAGTACACAAAATAATTTTAAAAATTTGATCTAAGTAAATATTAACCACAAAAGAATGTTTCCAAATTCATAAATAAAAGACAAAATATTAAATAACAACAGTTAAGTGGTAGAGGTGGAATGTTCAATTTCTAGTGAAACCAAGGTAAGATATTTCCATCTTCTAGGATTGGCACATGGTTGAAAAATTACAGAAATTTTATCTCTAATTTCCAAATAGCAGGGGACTGGGGGGAGGGGAGGGGAAGTAATATATAATTTTTTATTGATCTGTCAGAAAATAGGAAACACACACACACAGAGAGAGAGAGAGAGAGAGAGAGAGAGAGAGAGAGAGAGAGACAGAGACAGAGAGAAAGAATGGTCAGCAAGAGTATAGAGGGCATGGATCCATATGAGTCAGGAATCAAAATAAGTGTAAACAAAAGAAACTTTATTAAAAGTCTGTGATGATCATATACAATCACAAGAGCTGAGTGTTGTTATAAGGGACATAAAACAAAGCTGCACTTGAGAGGTTAATACAAAGGGAGTAAGAAGCACAAAAAAACCCCAAAGTTTGTGGAACAATGTCAGCACTCGGCAAAAGAGATGTTAAGCATCAGTTAAGATAACATGGCACATGGTTAATTGTAAAAGAAAAAAAAATTCACTTAAAAGTTATAATGTCATGAAAAGCCTCAAAGTACTTAAAGTAAACCAACAGAATAAGCAGGAATTGGAAAACACAAACCTCGTGGGCAAACTTAACATATCTATACGAATCTAGTGGAAGAAACAGAACCTAACTTACTATGGAAAAAGATTTAAACAAGATGGCACTTGAAGAAGAGAGGCATATGAAGAAAAGCCACAGCTCAACATACAGCTCAGTTGGGTATTATTTTCAAGTGGCATAGAACATTTGTATGTATTGACCACACATTAGAATGCAAAGGAACATTCAACAGTCTTAAAGAATCCATGATCAAGTCTTTATATTGGCTTTCAGATATCCATTTCCCATTCCTAATTAACTGACAGAACCCCTTCAGTATTGGAAAGATAGATGTTTCCAGAGAAGACTCCACAGCTCGTAGCCTCTCTTGCAGATGGTGTGGCTACCAGCTTAAATCTGGCCGTAAGACCATAGCAAAATATCATTGTGGAAGGAGGGAGAACTTGGGGACACTTCTGAAAAAAGGAATAAATCTCTGAGGAAGATAGTTTTTGCTCTCCATCCTCTCCTCTCCATCTAGTGGCTAGAATATGTATTATAGCTGAAGCTCAGCAGGCAGCTTCGACAAGGATGTGATCTCAAGAGGGCTAAACTGAAAGGTAGAAGAAGCTTCAAAATGCACAGGGCTGAAAATACCCAAACGATTTTGAAAAAAAAAAAATCAGAGACTTACACTTCTT